ACAAGAGGGTGCTTAACCATAACTTTAAAACATTCCCGTCTGCATGCGGTTTATTTCTTTGCACTGTACATGCTGATTACTGACTACAGAGAGTTTTACAGAATCAAAGGTCTAGAGTCAGTGGAACGTCAGAATTAGTGGGCTAATGCCTGGCAGGGTTAAGTATGCTACTTATATCCACTTCAGAACAACAACATTTATGTTTTCCATACCAAACAAGGATTAGGAGTCGTCTAACGGAATTTTTGATGCATTGCTTCCCTCTTAACATTTCCATAAAGCCTTTTCCCATCCTTTAAAGATTTATGGACCTCCTCACCCTCCGTGAGTAAAATGTCTCTATGGTTATGCTGTGAGGTAGCAGAGTCTTGTTCCACCTTGTTCCATGCAGATTTTCCCTAATCCCCCAGAAATTTGAGCAGAAGCTCGCATCCACTGCTTATACTCTGTAAGACCCTTTGCCTGTTTTTGATTACACCTTCTTACGTGTGTAGCCATAGCACGGTTGGATTTCACTTTAGATGCTCTGTGTGGAAATGTGCATGTAATTCTCTGCTTGTCACTTGGAGGAGGACTCTTTTAGTTCTGACGACTTCATGTCATCAGGTCTTTGCCTCCTTTTTTGTTGTTTCGTCCCCTTATGGTGACCCTTCAGTCTCTCCCTCCATCCCTCTGTGTGTCATTCTTTTCAGTTAATTCGATAAATATCGCCTTATTGTGTTTGCCTCCATAGATTTCTCAATCTTTGTTTTTTTTTTTGTATTGAAAGGATGCAATAATTAAAGGAATAATAATTTCTCCCTGCTCCAGTCAAAGGAATTCAGCTTAATGATGATACCTTACAACTCCACATTACTACATAACAATATATTAGACTTTGTTGTTTGTTTATTTGTTTATCCGCCTCAATTTCTGTTTCCTCCTTTTCTGCACATCTTTTCAGAGTTGTCTTTTATTTTTTTCCTCATTAATTGTGTGGGTGGATGTCAGGATAGGCTATCGTTGTGTAATTCTAATGCTAAATGGTTATCGACTTGCTCAAAGGTCGTAGCGACTTGATCGCGTTTGTCACCAACCCCTTAAAGATGTGTCTTGCAAAGCCTTTCCTGCCCTAAGTCAGAGCGGCTGGTTGACATGTCCACTCTGATTTATCTTGTGCTGCCGCAGCTATTTTCTCCGGCTGTCGTTCCCATCTATTCTGAGGCGTGCGTCATGTATGTGCAGATGTGGTTACAGCTGACGGAGACATGCACGTTGCTGTTTCATCTATCTATGAAAAACAAACATTTTAATCTGTTTGTAACAGGAAAAAATATCATTTTGACAGAGTCACATAAATGTGGTCTGTCACTGAGGAATTCTGAG